TAACTAGACCGCCATACAGATACATATTTGTTTGTTTAAACAGGTGTTGTTCATCTACTATTCTTCCATGATGTAACTTGACCGCCATACAGATACACCTGTTTAAACAAACCTGTGGTGGTGGTGGGCTTCCAGTTGGAGGAAAGTGGGGAACACGTTGTAATGCAGCTGATCCAAATGAGGGAGGTCCATTACTAATAGGGCTGGAATAGCTTTAAGGCAGTACAAATGGTCTTGTTGTCAAAAGGGAAAATCCAAATGGATGTGAACCTGGCTGTGGTGCCATTTGCCCCGAGGATAGAAAGTGCCAAGATAGAACTGCTCATGACAAATGGCAAAGATCCAGGAGGACTTGACCCAAAAGGCATTGGAGACTGAGTACGAGGAGGAGGAACATAGGGTTTATTAGAAGCTAAATTTGAGGGCAATTAGGCTTGTGGTGGACCACCAGGAGGCACTGGAGGCCTTGGAACGACAGCGGGCGGGGGTGGACCAGGACGGGTCATTGGAGATGCCCCGGAAATGAAGTTGAAAGTGGAGCTGAAGAGAAAGGCAGAGTTGTTGTCCAAAAGGGGGACAGGGCCTAGGGCCAACAGAATTGGGCACTGATGTCGGTGGCCAAAGGGGTCGATTTATTTGGAGGTTTTGGAAACCATTAGCAAGAGAACTCGGATTGTAATTAGGTAAGGGCATTGCCTGGTCTGGAACCCCCGGTTTGTTTTGATGTAAAATGTTTTTATTAAAATTATTTTACTTATGTTTCGTTATTTGATTGAACAAAAAATAAGTAAAATAATTTTTAAGAAAAAATATTTTTGCATCATTTTTCTAAAAATGGCTTACTTTTAAAAATTTTGTAAGTTAATTTTTACAAAATTGACTCTCATTCCCTACGTTTTCAACACATTTACCCTTTTCAAATAAATATCTTAAGTCACTAACAAGTCATAAATGACACTATATTAAATCAAAAATTTAATTTTAATTAATAAATTTTTTTGTTTCAAGTGTGAACCAAACGTCGAAAAACAAAAACAAAAATATTTCTGTCATTTTACAAGAAAAATATTTTTTGTATAAAATATTTTACGTCGAAACAAATATAGCCTAAAAATATTTTACGTCCTCTCTCTCTGTCTTAAACCTGTCTTTCTCCTCTCTCTCTTAAACCTTAATACAATCAATATGGATGCTTATCTTCAATCCATTCACAAAGTAATACCTCGGTTAAACATTCATGTGGATGCAATGTGCATTGGTTCACTTGTATCGACCATTGTTGGTGGGGTCTTATTTTTTTTCACCAAGGAGGTAATGGCGAAGTCATTCTTGATTGGTATTTTTTTCCACCTATTTTGGTATAACTATGCACTCTTGCTTGGCTCAATAGTATATTGGATATGTTCCATAATCTGGTTTATTTGGAAAAATCACATGATTTTGAGAAGGCATTGGCTCATTACATTTGGAAGAAATTACGTGGCTCAAGAACATTTTCTTAGTAGCATTATTCTATGTGCGGGCAATGTCTTGGTTTGTCAATTTAGTGAACAAACCTTATGCAGGATATTTGTACTTCTACTCTTTGCTATTTCACTCTATTATGTACAGAAAATGGCAGAATTTACTACAAATTTGAACATCGTCGGATTCTTATTGTCTGCAAGTTTGAACTCCATTGTCATTAGATACAAATTGAAATACCATACCCGGATATTTGTTATCCTTTGTGTAGTCATTCTTGGTCTACAATATCAGTTCCATCCTGGTCAGGCTTGGTGTCACGGCCTTGGTTATTTCCAAACTATTCGTGTGACACTTAGACAATCACTAGTCTTACTTGGTGATGCTAAGTCAGCCTGACTCACAAGTTTGCAAGAAAGACAAATAAGAAGACAAAGAAAGTTTGAGAGAATGACTTTGTATTCACTTTAGAGGAACTTGGACAACTCTTGGATGATGGATGGAGCAAATGAGCCCATCCCTTATTTATAAACATATTAGGCCCTTTCTAGAATATTTCAAAACATACAAGAAAAGTACTATGGAGAAGCTTCTCGTAGAATCATTCCTTATCCTGCAAGAGGGTTCTAGAATCCTCCCTAAAAATATCTATAGAAACATCTACCTCATTTTAGAAGTAGGCATGAGGGTCTTTTACCACCTCTATTTCTCTTGGAGGTTCTAGAAGCTTATACTACTTCCCTTCCTCCAATCTTCATTTGAATGCTCTAGAACCTTTTCTTAGATCATTCCATGTACATTATAGAATTATGTACCATATTCCCATATTTTCTCAAGTCTTCCAGGAGTTCCAGAATATTCAATGAGCCTGCCTTGCTTGAGACTTCCTTTTGGTAGGCAATTTTGTCTAGGTAATTTGGTAGGATGTAACATTAGGCTCAAGCTACTGTCATCACCGACTCCCCCTCCGCCTCTACTTCCGCCTCGGCTTCCGACACCTCCAACTCCAACTCCAACTCCAACTCCAACTCCAACTCCAACTCGACCTCTACAACGACTGACTCTGTCCTCGACTCAACATTAGATACTTGATTAGTTTTTAAATACTGCATCAGATACTTTATTAGTTTCTTAATATTGGCCCATTTTGATGGTTGAACCTATTATGAGCACAATTGCAGTACCTTTGTGTTGTTCTTTTTTTCTTTTCCTACCTACTTTTAAGTTTGGATAGCTAAAAGGGATAGCAACATTTTGTCTTATCCGTTTGCTTCCCTTTAACTGTCTACACGTGCTGAAATATGGATGCCATGAAGGAACAATTTGGGATGTGGATTAGTTAAACATTAATTCTCTGTGGTTTTTATTTCACAACTGAACTACTTGCCATGAGAATCTATTATTATTTGGAAAATGATATGGTAAGAAAAGTTACGTAATTTTATGATGTGCACACTTAAAACAAAACACTTCTCCATAAAAGTGTCTTGCTTCTTAATGCTACTGGGTGGTAGCCAAAGTGTTTCATTGTGGTTCATGTTACCTTAAAGTCCAAAGCCCCATCTTGTGTCCTTGATGCCACCAAAGGTTCCACCCCTTGGAATATTATACATCCACCGATTTTTTATACTTTGAGATAGACATTGATCCCAGGCTTGTTGTTGCTCTCTTTGATTTGCCAAGGGATGCTGATATTAGTGCATTGGTCCTTAGATTTGGTGGGGAATGTGAATTAGTTTGGTTGAATGACAAGAATGCATTGGCTGTTTTTAGTGATCCAGCGCGTGCAGCAACTACTATGAAGTAACATTAAGTGAAATGTTCCCGTTGATTGTAAACTGATTGTCACCACTATTTTACTTTTGTGGACATATACATACTTGATGCAGCCTGTCTAAGCTGTTTCTTCAATAAGAAAAAACATAAAAGATGGATATAATCTAAAATCAGTATAAAGGCGTATCACCGAAATAATCTCTTTACTAGGACCTTTGCTTATTATTTATTTGTCCCTATTGTGTCTTGTTTTCCAAATAGAGTTCAAAACTATGAATTTAAATACCATACGCCAGTTTGCTCACAATGTTCAATGACATGTTATATGATCGAATCTACACAAACAACAAACATAAGTTTTTTAGTTTGTGTTTGAAGCTATATTCGAGAATATACTATGGAGGGATTTCCTGATACATATCATGTTGATCTAATAAAGTTTAACATAATAACATGTTGTGGTGGAAATTTTCCTATTACTTAGATTGTTAAAATGGTAGGACAAAAAATAAATAAATAAATAAATTCTTGCTATTTCTGCTATTGGTTTGTGCCACTCCTCCAATGGTATCCATCACCTAGGATTCCTGTTAATTACATTTGATGTGTGGTTAAACTTTATTTGGTGCATGAGTTGAGCTGCTTATCTTCTCAATTTAAAAATTGCTATTACCCTTACATCGATTTCCGCATCATTACTATGAATACAGTATGCCACATTGTGAAGAAGTACATTGCTCATTTTCTCAATACTAAAGTTCCTCTGATTCTGGGTAAGTATGCATGATGCCTTTTCAGATGTCAATGTTAGAGTTTCTATTGAGCTACAAGATGGTTAAGGGACAAGTGCAATAATATTTACTTGCTACCTCTCTGTTTGTTTGTCCATCTCACTATAGATATGATTGAACTCTAGAAGAGGTTTGTACCTGCAGTTGCAGGTCATTTATCAATTTTTTTATATCTTTATTTTCCTTTTGCGTCAGCTACAAAAAAAAATTCTGATGAGTGATGTTTTACTTACACTATATAATACTGTGTATTTTTTTTCTACTCATTCATCATGGCCTTTATCATTGGACAAATTAATGTTCTAAGTCTTTTAATCTCTTATCATATATATCTAATGACATTAGTTATATTTATGAGATTATATGCGTATTTGGATTGGGTCCATGAATCAGGTCAGTGTTTGTTTAGGCATCAAACTTTCTCATATTCTTTATGAATCCATCATCACGTCTTGTACATTCAAAGACATTATATCTCATAAGGTATGATACATATAAAGTTACTATAATTCAAGGATGTACTTTAATACAATTCAAAAAAGAAAGAGTTTATATTTGTCTCTTCATTTCAAAAGCAGGAGACCATTTTTTTACTATCAATTTTGATCTTACTCTTCTTCTATCATCAGACATAAAGAGTTTGCACTTATTTTATTTGTATGCATTTAAGACATGTATATAAGACATATCCTACATCCATAACCATTCTTCTGGAAGAGAATATGATGATAATTTGAGCATAAAGTGCACTGCTCACCCAAAAATAAAACTATTCTGCGGCATCCTTAGAAATTGAAGTGTAAATTATTCATTGGTGAACAAGACTCAAGTATTCAATGAGGTGTTCAATAATGTATCATACGGTAGATGAAAATAATAAGAACTGTATATATACAGACACAATTTTATGTCACCAACTATTCCAAAAGCTGTAGTTTGACATCTACAATTAAAGGCCACCATATTCACCTTCTTTTGTTGTTTTGAATCTACATTGACCGAAGCTATGCAATTGTCATGGGTGGAATACTCCTCTTGAGCTAACTACTTGATGGGGCTTCAACTTGCCTTCTCTATGCTTCTTTTTCCTCTGATCATCAGTCTTGAGAGGACCATGGCCATTGTACCTCCATTTTTCTGTGAATTAATTAATGGAGATAATTTGCAGAATGTAGCCTTGATGCTTTGATGGCCCAGAATGTGTTGGCTGGGATTTTGGATCAAAACATTGTGTCTAGATACTGATAATGAAATAAAATAAATGACTAGATATTTATTTTTTTTATTTTTAAAAAAAGCCCTAAAAACACATGAACTGGCTATAGAAAACCAAAAAATTATTGTTTTGTTCTTCGATATGGATGCTATGATTTGATCTAAAATGATTAGGATTTTAGGTACATGAAATGTAATGAAAACCTTCACAAGTATTGGAGAGGGGATTAGCAAAGTATACTATGACCACAAAGATATTTATGTGAGCCTAGAGATTGTTTCATGCATTCCACCTTCAATACAGAAACAGAGGCCATCACTCCTCAATTAGTGCCTTGTTACATAATTGAGCTTGTGTATGTCACAAAATCATAATCATACAGGAAACTTTTAATTCAGGATGTTGGCTATGCATAGTGGTTGCTCTCAGTGGTGATAATGATTTATTCCAGATGTGGGATTCCGCACATTCAAAAAGCATCCCTAGGTTCAGTGAAAGCACAATGTTACAAATTCTCTACAGATTTCGTGAACTATGTGGAGAGTTTTGTTGTGAAATTTGTTTGTGTATGTAAACATAGCTGATTTGAATTAACATTTTCACTTCCTTTCCCTTTTCTAATTCCTTGGACTTAGTCCCAAACTAGCAGGCTTGGTTGAACTTAAAAGTGTGGGCGAAGTGAGTAAACCATCGACTATATAGGGTTTAACCTTTGGATCCAATACAAACTACAATATTTATGGGAAACAATCAACATAAAAGAAACATAAAACAAAAAAAAAAAAACAAACCAAATTCTCTACCTGTCAAATGCTTATGTAGCTTTTGCAGCGATTGACCCTTCTTCTTCACTACAATCTTCGATCAAAAGAACTCCAGTTTTGATGAGATTCAAAGATGATCCTTGTGGTTGTTTAATCACAATTCAATATACATGGTTGATCACATATGAGTAAATTGGGATAATAAAAATATAATAGCACTAAGCTCAGTTTGTTTCAACGTAAAATATTTTACACAAAAAAAAATAAATAAATAAATAAATAAATAAATAAATAAATAAAATAAAATAGTTTTTCTTTTTAGTGTTTGGTTGACACTTGAAATAAAAATATTTTATTGCCTAAAAGAGAAATTTTGATTCAATAAGATGTTATTTATAACTTTTTAGTGAGTTAAGATATTTATTTAAAAATGCTAATATGTTGAAAAGGTAGTGAGTGAGAATCAACTTTGTAAAAATTAACTTACGAAATTTTTAAATGTAAGTCATTTTTTGGAAAATGATACAAAAATGTTTTTCTTAAAAAATATTTTACTTACTTTTTGTTCAACCAAACAATGAAAAATGAGTAAAATATTGACATAGGTGGGCCTATAGAGGTTTTTTGGCCCACCACTTAGAGCCCAACACACGGTTCAAGCACTAAAGCCCAACATTATTAAAATCCAACGTTACACCAAGAACCAATGGCATCTAAACACTTGTCAAGAGAGAACTAGCCACGTAAGCAGACAAAGATCTTGCAGAGTTATTGCACCACACATCAGCCATTAATGAAGCCCCTGTAGCATTAAATGCGTTGATCCCTTCACGACGGAGTAGACAACCTCACCATGAACAAGGCAAGCTAGAGCATAGATTTTCGGCCAACGTGACAGGTCGGAGTGGACAAGGAAATGATGAATGAAGAATATAAGAAGGCTTCCAAGACACAAAAAGGTTAGGTGCTCTATCGTTATTCTCCTATCATTCGCCATAAACCCCTCTCTTTTCTAACTTGACCGTCGGAGGGTCCGCTGGGGGACTCCCGTTCCCCGCTAGGCTTTTGTGCAGATATCTCGGTGGGCTCAGTGATCAGGGAGCGACGTTGGAAGCGTGGGCCTGCGATTAGTAGCACTATCAGTTGGCGCCGTCTGTGGGAACCACCATTCCACGTGACAATTGTGCTCATTGTTACCGAAGGCCCTTTCCCGACAATCCCTCCTCGTTGGCCATCAAGGTGAATGGTCACAACGAGATCCATGACTTCTCAACACAACGTCGTTGACCCCCAAGCCGACCCTACCAATCCAAACATCCTACCTCAATATTTCACAGAACTCACCAACGGCATCAACCGTTTGGCCAAGCAAAACCAGGCCTTAATCAACACTTTGCTCCAGCGAAACCTTCTTATACCTCCTCCACCGCCACAAAATATCCCTCCCAATCGAGAACAAGCCCCGAGCCATCCTTTCTAGCAAGTCCACCTCTCCAACTTAGAGGGTTGGCAAGCTCCACCCCAAGACATGAACCCGCCGCCTCGAGGTTTACATTCGTCTGGTCAAACATTTGCCCTTGAAGGAAAGGCTAGTAGTGTTCAGCCTCCACTGCCCTCGGGGGGTAACAATGTTCCTATCTGGGATGCGGAACTTCGAGCCATGAAACTCTAGCTTCAAGGAGTTATGCAGAACATACAGAATAAACCCTCCGTAACAGCCAACTCCCAATTTGTCGCCTCCATCAGAGACAAACCCCTACCTCCTAAGTTCAAAATGCCCTCGATCGACTCTTTCGACGGTACAGCGGACCTAGTTGACCATTTAGAGACTTATAGAACCCTAATGATCCTCCATACTTTTCGTGATGAGATCATGTGTTGGGCTTTTCCCGTGACGCTTAAGGGGTCAGCTCGACTATGGTTTAGTCAGCTACCATCGAACTCCATTTCTACATTCCAACACCTAAGTGATTCCTTCCTGAGCCATTTCATTGGCGCTCAACGCCAGCGGCGTCCAGCAACACAGCTTCTTAACATCTGCCAGACAGAGGCGGAGTCGCTACGTAGCTTTGTCACTCGTTTCAACACCGAAGCCCTACAGGTAGCGGAAAACAACGACAAGGTCATCCTCATGGCTTTCATGGCCGGTTTAGGATCATCTGATTTCCTCTTCTCCCTCTCCAAAAAACCTCTAACCTCCATGGCCACCCTCATTTCCAAAGCCCAAAAATATATGAATGCCAAAGACTCTCTGGCAGCCCGCCAAGATACTACAACTAAAAACCCAACCTCCTGAGAGAAGATAAAGGAATTTGAAACCAGAACCACCCAATACACATAGCAAACCCCTCAGTATACTGACCGACTTGCTCACCCCGACCGATCGGCACCTACTCGACCGCCTGGTCGGTTCGAGTGATACACTCCCCTCAATTCCACCATGGAACAAGTCTTGAATAAGATCTAGCGAGATTACAACTTGAAATGGCCCCAACCCTCACGGTCTCCTTCCAACTGGCGAGATCAATCCAAATACTGTCGTTTCCATTAGGACCACGGCTACAACATTGAGGAATGTGTTAACCTCAAAGACTAGGTATAGAATATGATACGTCAGGGTCGCCTTAGTTGGCTCACAGCAGCCCGTCCCCAACAGCGGCCGAGGACCGAACCCACCGGGGGCCACCGCCGACAAACCCCTCCTCGACAACCCCCACACCCTAACCGAGACAATGGTCAACCCCCATTACAACCTCGGCCCTAAGGCAACCCTGCTCCCCCGGTCGGAGAGATCGGAGTCATCGCCAACGGGCTTGCATGCGGAGGATCATCCCGTTCGGCACAACGAGCAAAACTCAGAAAAATTAGACAGGGCTCCGATAAGGAAGTCGCCATATTGGATCGCCCCTTCAAACACCCCAAGCGGTGGACTGAACCCATCACCTTTATGGAGGCCGACTACACAGGCATCTGTTTCCCCCACGATGACCCCCTCGTCATCTCTACTCTTCTGTCCAATTATAAAGTCAGACGGGTGCTTGTCGACAACAGTAGTTCTTCTGACATTATCTTCCTGAATGCCTATCGCCAGCTCAAAGTCGGCGAAAAAAAATTATCCCCTCTCCAGACCCCGTTAGTCGGCTTTATGGGGGATCATGTGACATCCATGGGTTCCATCAACCTTCTCATCACCATCGGAGAGTACCCACGGCAGACCACCAAGTCACTCACTTTCCTTGTCGTTGACTATCCTTCTACCTATAACGTAATCCTCGGCCGAACAACCCTTAACACTTTCCAAGCTGTCACCTCCACATACCATCTAGCCATGAAATTCCCCACTGACCTTAGGGTAGGGACCATGAGGGGTGAGAAAACGATGGCCAGAGAATGCTACGTCACCTCACTAAAAGAGGTCAAGCTGAAGGAAGCCATGATCATTGAAGGACTCGACATTAGAAACGAAGAAGAGTTAGTCAAAGGGGAACCAGTAGAAAAACTTGTCGAAGTCCACATCGATCCTACGAACTCAGCCAAAACAACCAACATCAACTGTCCTCGCAGGCCAAGGTCGACCTCATAGCTCTCTTAACTAAGCACAATGACGTGTTCGCCTGGACCCATTCCGACATGCCAGGCATCAATCCCTCTTTCATCACTCACCATCTTAGTATTGAGCCCCATTTCTGACCTTTCTGCCAGAGACAGCGTATCTTTCACCCGGAACGCAATGCTCTTATTGCCTCTAAGGTAGACAAACTATTGAAGGCACAGTTCATCCAAAATGTGGATTACCCTAGATAGTTGTCCAATGTAGTCCTGGTCTGCAAAACTAATGGTAAATGGCGATTCTGCGTCGACTATTCTGATCTTAATTGAGCTTTCCCCAAAGATAGTTATCCCTTTCCCCAAATAGATTTGTTGGTCGATGCCAGTGCCGGACACCAGATGCTTAGTTTCATGGATGCCTTCTCCGGCTACAATCAAATTCTGATGCACTCGGCCGATCAGGAACACACCTCCTTTATCACAGACAGAGGGACTTATCATTATCGTGTTATGCCGTTCGGACTGACAAATACCGGAGCTACTTACCAACGTCTGGTTAATGCCATCTTCCAACACCAAATAGGCCAGTACGGTGCCGTCCTCATCGTCAGCCAACGGGGCATCGAGGCCAACCCCGAAAAGATCAAGGCCTTGATAGAAATGCGGTCTCCCAGAATGGTCAAGGAGGTTCAACGGCTCACAGACAGAATCGCCGCCCTCAACCGCTTTATTTCTTGAGCTACAAACAAATGTCTTCCATTTTTTGAAGTCCTTTGACAAGCTTTTGAGTGAAACACCGAATCTAAGGAAGCTTTCCAACAACTTAAGCAATGTATGGCCAACCCCCGTCCTCTCTCAAGCACTCCCAGGCTCAACTCTCTTCGTCACTTAGCCGTATCAAGCACTGCGGTCAGCGCCGCCCTCATCAGGGAAGATAGGTCAATATAACATCCAGTCTACTATATCAGCCGCACTCTCAGGGGGGCGGAACAGAACTATCCTTTGTTGGAGAAAATGGCCCTCACCTTGGTCATAGCCTTAAGACGCCTTCGGTCTTACTTTCAAGCTCACTCCATAGTGGTTCTCACTGATCAGCCTTTAAAAAAGGTCATGCAATAGCCAGAGTTGTTAGGCAGACTGATATAGTGGTCCGTCGAGCTCAGTCAATTTGAAATCTCTTACCGACCCCGAACGGCGATTAAAGGACAAACAGTCGCCGATTTTATCTTGGAATTCACCAATCTCACACCAAACGTGCCCCCTCTGCCAACGCAATTCAACTTCGAGGCAGAAGACCCTTATTCCTGGATCTTTCATGTTGATGGATCATCCTGCAAAGAAGGAAGTGGGGCCGGTCTCATCCTCACCGCCCCCGAGGCGCGGGTACTTCAAGTGCGCCCTCCGTTTCCTATTCAACATGAGCAATAATGAAGCTGAATACGAGGCCTTGATAGCGGGTCTTCGTTTGGCCAGAGACATTGGTGTAAGCCATCTTCATGTGTTCAGTGATTCCCAACTGATCGTCGGGCAGGTTATTGGGGAATTCGATGCAAAGGAAGACACGATGCGGGCCTACAGGGACATTGCACTCCCTCTTGTTCGCCTTTTCAATACTTTCCAGATCAA